AGAAGTAGTTACATGTGTTGCAATGCATCCCGAGGTTGTCGGGTTGGTGTAGGGAGTGAACGAGTAAGCAGAATAGATGGCTAAGAGAGAGAGAGAGAGAGAGAGAGAGAGAGAAGAGTGAAGACCTGAGAGTGGATTGTAGATAGGAGATAAAAAAAAAAAAAATGATTAAAAGATTATTTCTGCAGCCTCACCTTGCTCTGTGACAGTATCCACAGATGCAGATGTTCAAATCCTCACACCAAATCTATACACAAGGCATCGGTACATTTTCAAACCTGCTGGTTTCTTTAAATAACTCCTGTTGCTGGACAAGGCTTCAGAGTAAAGAGTCTGAGGAGTGAGGGGGAGTGAGGTTTTGGGGGGGACTTTGATCTCTGCTGCTCAGTGCAGTTTGCATCACTTCTCCTTTCCCTCAATATATCTCATTATTGTTTTTTGTTTTTTTGTTCTCTTCTCCCTCTCACTCCACCTTTTTATTCTCTTGCCTCTTTGGTCCACAAAAACACTTGTCCAACACGGTGAGTAACATCAATCTCATATGATGAGATTGATGTTTGTGAAAAGACAGAGAGGAACAAAAACAGATGTAATGAAAGAGCAGAAGATGACACTCAGCCACAGACATTGTCTCTGATCCACTGATGACCTATGGGACATAACAATACGATCTGTTACAACATGAACCCGGCGCATTTGAATGTCAAATATAAATAGGACGCACACAAAAGAAATCCTGTTGCTGACTGCCAACCTGTGGACACAACAAATGATAAAAATAAAAAAAATAGGCTGGAGGGAAATAAAAGAACAAGATAAACAAGTTTGTGAGTTCTTATTTTTTATTAATACTCAACACTTTTATTCCAAAGAGACAGAAGAATAATATTTCTCAGCACTTATTTTCACATTGACTGTGTTTAATCTCATTTTCAATATTACTAAATATTCAATCAAATTGGAAATACTCTCTTCACACAAGTAATTTCTCTCCATACAAAAAATGTGAGGGTGAACTAGATTTTTGTCGTATGTACATTTTTCACAATCTGTACAGCTCAGGGATGGAGTTGTTCGTCCTTCTGTGGCGAAACACAAGAACAGAACATGTAGCCAAAGAGGGAAAAAAAAGAGACTACCTGTGTAAATATGCAATAGATAATCTATTGTGCTTTCCGTGTACCAATTGATGATGGTGCTTTACAATTTTTCGTTTGAGAAAAAAACAACCGTCTAAGATGGTCTCTGACCAAATTGAAAAGGAAATAAAAACACATCAACAAACCTTAGATGTGCACCCCATGTCTGTAATAATAAATGATTGCACATATCCTGGCTTGAAGTCATTACAAAAGCAATTTTGCAAGGGGACCTACGAATCAAAGATTTATCCCAAATAGATCTATTCTCTGCCATTTTGTACAGTTTTTATCAAAAGTCCATGAGCGTGAGGTAAATTATTTACATACAGTTTTTATAATACATGTACAATAAACAGTTATCTCTCACACACACTCTGTCTCTCTTTCATATGAGCACACACAGAGGTAATCAAGCGTATGTATTCAGGCACATACAATAACAGAAATAATGAAACGTACTGAGAAATATTCAAAGAAAAAAAAATAAATAGGAAAAGTAGTTGAAATTAAATTAAAAAAGGCTTCTTCAGTGACAATGAATGTATTAAGACCTCAACCTTGTTAAAAAGCATTTACACAAACTATCAAGAAAATCGATCTTTGTATAATATTAACAATAAAAAAAGTTTTCTATCCTAGTGAAAATTTTTAATCAATTTAGCCATATTTATTTGAGTATAATCAAAATTTAGACTGTTAGATTTGTGTCTTCTCTTGCACAAACAAGCACACACACGCACACACACTTACAGTACTACATGGATCATCAGTACCAATGAAATTGATAAAACTCCAAATATCGTTCAAAAACACCCATTTTCTTGGGCTTCAAAAGTTAAGAGTTATAAAACAGAAAGAAAGAAACTAAGAGTATACATGCAAGTCCTTACAAACGCCTTAGTATCATACATACTGACTTGTCAACCAAGAGAAGGAAAGTCTTCTGGAGTTTTGACTGGGATGTACAAGAAAACTAAATGTTAGATCCATTCAGTCAGATTGTGCTTAGATATTAGAATTTGGTTTGGCAAGATGATTTAAAGTCAAGTTTGAGTGACAGTAAATAACTGAAAATAGAGAATGGTTGTCTTAAATATTAACTTATAGTATTAGAAATGCTGAGGAGGGCTGTAAATTAAAGAAAACACAAATTATTCTTGTCTTTATATTGTGTCAGAGCAGTGTGATCTGTGTGTCTGATGTTGTGGACTTGAGAGTCGCCTATTGATGAAAATCACTTGGAGTCCATCATTAACAAAGGCAACAAAATGTACCAGCTGTTTTTAGGACGTTGTTTACCTTCCTCTTTATTCTTACTCTCCACAGACAGTTTCCTTTTGACACAATCCACACAAGACCTTGGACCTGAGGGCAACTTCTTTCCTTCATCAAAATCTCAGCATGTGAAAGAGATTATGGTCCAGTGGAGGGAGAAATCAAGGTTACAGTACATACTGAGACTGTTTCTGTGTGTTCTGTGTGGTGAAAATGTGAGTTTGGGCAACGTGGTGGGAAAATGATAACTGAGTGCACAGAGGGGTGGGCTGAAATTTAACTAGCTGTCCTGTTAGGACTGCAAGGCAGTAACTTTAAGGAATAGTTCCTTTCTTTCTGAGAGTTAGATGAGATAACTGATACCGCGTTCATATTTCTCCATTAACTATGAAGCTACAGCCAGCAGCCGGTTAGCTTTAGCTTAGCACAAAGACTGGAAACGGGGGAACAACTAGCCCGCCTCTGTCCACAGGTGCCTTCCAACAGACGGTGTAAAAATGTGTAGGTTGTGGTTGTGCTGACTATTTCTGATTGGTCGAAAACATCTTGTACATGACCCCCAGAAAAAACCACAACCAGTCGTTTTTACACTACACAACATATAACATGGTGGTTTTTAGTACCTCCGGACACAGCCTTGCTACATGTTTCCCTGTTTCCAGTTTTTTATGCTAAGCTAAGCTACACAGCTACTAGCAGTAGCTTCATATTTAACAAACAGATATAAGACTGTTATTGATCTTCTCCTTTAATTCCCCACAACAAAGCTAATAAGCTTATTTCCCAAAATGTTGAACTACTCCTTTACTTAGCAGGGGGACTGCTCTGTAGCTGTATAGTGAGTACACATTTCTCACTTCTTATGCTTTCCACCCCATTTCTAAGGTAGAAACGAAAGGCTGTGTACCAGTGTGGTTGAAGTTATGAACCTGTTGTGGTCCCTCTGAAGCAGAAGAAAAGTGTTAACAACTGGAACTCCTCGCAATCACTCAAATACTCAAACACTCATCACCATCTAATACAGCAGGCAGGGCTTATAGCCGCAATCATGAAATAATTAACGCGTCTCACGCTAAGAGTCCATTGTCCGTGTCCTCATCCTGAGCGGGAAAACCGTCACGGCCAATTGAGTCAGACCTGATCAAACGCCATGAGAGCAACAAGCAGACATTAAATGTGATTTACTTGTATTTAATGGATAGTTGGATCCTGGGTCATCAGTTATGAGGTGGTGAGGTGATAAAGCTCGTTGAGCTTTATTAAAAAATAAAAAAATAAATAAAAAAAAAGATTTAAAGGAAATTGACTTGCAGTTAGATTAACTGTGGAGTTAATAGTACAAGAAGATATATGTTATTTCTTCACATACAGCAGCACGCCTCCATCTTACCTGACTTTTGGGGGGAACAGGAATGTTTGTTTATCATGGCACGTGTGGTTTTAACCCTTATAATCCTGCTGTTGGTTACTTTTATTGTTTCGGGGGGTCAATGTAGGAATTTAAGCTTCCTCGACTGCAGCAGCTTTTGTTGTGTATCACAACATCTGTTAGATGCTTAAAAGCCTGTTACACTCATGAAACTCGACTATCATATCAGACTTTTTCAGGTGTGTTTTCACTCAGGTCAGGTGACTAATTGTTTGGAGGTGGATCTGTCTACCAACAGAAGAGATCGTATGAGTAGAAAATCAGTATTAATCCTTTAAGGCACATCCAGCTCAAAATGTGAGACCCATTTGGTGCTGCCAAGCAGAAAAACGAGAGGAAATGGCAAATCAGTATGATGATGTTGCTTCTGCAGCTGAAAGAAAAACCTTCTTTGCAAATTTATAAGTACATAGAATGTACTCAGCAAGTCATGCCTTTCACATACACTTCACAGCACTCAAAAGTAAGAAAAGTAAAAAAAAGCAAACATGAATAATTAATAGCAAAGAAGAGTCCAAATTACAGGAACTTCAAAAAGATCCAAACTGACAACCGGTGTACCAGCCTCCTGTAATATTGGTAAGCTAAGAAAGAATTAACATCATACAAATATGTAACATGAACTATTTAAATAAATAAATAAAATTTAAAAACAATCCAAACCGATCATCATTAAACACTAGAATAATATTCAATAATATTATTAACATTATCAATACAATTATTATTAGTTTACCCTGTTACTTCAACAGAAGTGTTGATTTCTCATTCATGATTGTATTTCCGTTGCTAAACAAAATGTTTGTTTTGGTGTTAAGGAACTGCAGGAGGGAGGGAAAGACAATGAGCATGTGACGAGAGCAGAGACTGGAGATTTTATTTCACTTTTTTCCCCTCCATCCCTCCCTCCCTCCCTTCCTATCTTTCCATGAGCGTCGGAGCAGCACCAGAATCCTCTCTTCTCATTAAAAACTTGCCTCCCGCCGGACTTCACCACAGCTTAGCCTGCAGTGGCCTCTGTGCATCGTCCAAATTCTTTCCATTTAGTGGAGTGAGACCAACACGCACTGTATCGTGTCTCCTCATTCTCTTCACACAGAGAGGTCATCAGCCTGAGCCGTTTCTCTCTTTTTTTTTTTGCCTCTGTATGTTTCTCTCCGTCCGCCTCCTTTTCTTCACCCACTTCATCTTCCCTCTCTCTCTCTTTCTTCCTCCGTCTTCACCCTCAGACGTCTGATTCAATGCTGGAGAGCTTTTCATAAACATGTCCATTGCTGGCACCGTTGAAGGGTCTCTGTCCCTGCCCCAAACCTAACGTGTCCCTGCCCCCAGGCAGTAGCTTGTTGCCCCCGTGGTGGTTCCCCATGGGCCCTCCCACCCCGCCCAGACACAGCTCTTTGGGGAACCTGGGGGCCACATTGGAGATCACCCCAGCTGTGGCGGACGCAGGCAAATAGGAAGTTGCTCCCATGGAGCCGCGGAAGTCCCCTCCTCCTCGGCTGTTGTTGAGAAGTTGCTGCTGCTGCTGCTGTTGCTGCGTCTGTGGCTTTTTGATGTAGTACGGTTTGGCACCGTGTAATAGACACTGGTCGTCGCCGAAGGTTGGGATGAAGGGGTTCTGGTTCACCTTATCTGGGTAGAGAGATTTAGACAAGGAGTAAGTCCCGGCCCCTCTGCTACCACCACCACCACCACCACCACAGCCCCCACCTCCCATCATAGCTCTATCTCTGTCCCTCAGGTCTCTCTCCCCAACCGACCGCCGATGCAACCCACCTTCGCCTCCTCGGAACAAACTGAAGGAGGAGCCTCCTTTCGCCCTGTCGCCACCTATTCCCCCAAACATGGGGGACTCCCTGTCACCTGCATACCTCTCAAACATTTGAGCATAAGGGCTGGGGCCCTCCATGAAGCGGTCTTTGTCTTTCAAGCTCACACTTCGGGGTTGGGGAAACTCCCCCCCAATGCCCCCGCCAGCCCCTCCCATGCGGCCTGCCCCCTCCCTCTGCAGGTCCACAAATGTGTCATACGAGTGTTGCCTCCTTAACACCCTCCCACCCGGCCCTAGCTTCCTGCGCTGTGCCTGAGTTTGTGTTTGGCTGGGTCCTACGCTACTCTTCCCTCCCGGGAACATCATGTTATTATCCTCGCTGATGTTGTAAAGGTTGCTCGGCTGCATCTTACAGGAGTCGCAGCGTTTGCAGGAAGCGGAGCTGGGGCGACTGCTGCTCCCCCCAACTCCGCTAGCTGGGCACGCGCCGCCGCCTCCTCCTACACCTCCGCCGTGGTGACACACACTGTGGCAGTTACGACACTCCCAGTCACCGCCGGCTATGCCCCCCCCTCCTAGCCCAGAAACCCCCTTCTCCCAGCAGGTGTGGGCCTGCTGTCCTGCTGACACCGAGCCCATCCCACCTTTACACTCTGGCTTCTTGCCTTTACCTTTGAGGAAGTCTTCCACAGGCACTAGGCTTTTACAGATACCACCACCGCTACCACCGCCCACACCGCTTCCTCCACTTCCACCCTCTTGCTCCCACTTGGCCTTGCCCTCCTTGGAGCGGAACTGGTCCGCATAGAAATCCCTCAGGTTCTCTTTGTCTTTGCGGAATAAGTAAGGTGAAGAATTACCCCCTCCTCCTCCCCTCTTCCGCTCCAGGGGAGGTGAGACCGTGCGGTGTGCCAGGGGCCCGTGGGGGAAGTGGTGGTGGACGGTGTGGTGGTGGGGTCTCCTCCTGAGGCCGCTCAGCTCTATCTCGTCCTGCTCCCGTCTGCACTTGGCCGAGGCTGGCCTCTTTTTCAGGCTGTCCCTGTACTGCTTACGCCGCTTGGCGTTGCCCTCCAGGTTGCCGTAGGTGACAGTGTGGGTGGAGATATCCGATACATCAGAGCGAATGTTCCCATCGTCACCCCCTGAGCCCCCCCCGCCCCCACCACAGTACCTGTCATGACCCCCGATGAGCCCTGTGCTGGATGCGCCTCCTTTGAAAGAAAACCTGCCGTACACATTGTTTCCCTTGAACCCACCCTGATTGGAATCCGCAGGGGTGTGGCCAGCGATCAGGTCAAATTTATTGGTATTCCTGTGAGTCATGGATGGGCGGGGCTGGGTTGTAAAGATGGGCGCTACCCCTCCCCCTAAACTGTCACAATCGAACATGCCCCCCTCCAACGAGCTAGCGCTGCCTAAACTACGCGGCCTATTAGGCGGGGGGCCGGACATACCCAGAGCCGAGGCCGGGTGGTGGTGCCGGTAATGGTCCTGGTACAGGTTGCTGTCCTTCAGGGGCAAGTTGCCAAAAGTTCTCTCCACCTCGCTGATGTAGTCACTGAACATGTTGTCCTCTGGCATGTAAGGAGGCGCAGACTTGCAGTCTACAGGGTGACCTACCAGGCTGCGCCGGTGCTCCTGGATATCATAGATAGCAGACTCACGACCGCTGTGGCTGTACTCCAGAGCGGCGTGCGGAGAGCCGTTAATGCCTGGGACGGCGGTCATATCCTTGGCAGTGCGGAGCAACCGCAGGATGTTGGAGTGGGTGTTGTTCATGTTCTTCTTCATGGTGGCCGAAGGTGAGTCTATGGTTGACTTGTTTTCCTCAATTTGTACCCCATGGATGCAGCTGTAGATACCCTGGAGTGTGACAATTAGAGGAAAAGGGAGGTAGAGAGAGAAAAAGAGGGTGAGACAGGCCATGGGAGGAAGAAAGAAGAAGAAGAACGAGAGTGGTAGAGTATGAAGCTCAAGTGAGAGAGAAACAACAGTAAAACTCGTGGCAGTAGTAAGGAGTCAAGAACCAGAACGGATTTAATGATAGAGAGACGGAGCCAGACACAAGACACATAAACAGACAGAGAGAGAGAGAGAGAGAGAGAGAGAGAGAGAGAGAGAGAGAGAGAGAGAGAGAGACAG